ATAATAATAATAATAAAAATAATAAATAAGATTGTGTTTGATTTTTTGTTTGTTTTTTTAGGTTTTTTCGCCAGAGGCGGAGAAGGTGTTTTCGCCTTTAGAGTTAGTAAAAGAAGTACATTTTACTCGAGGAGGCCTTGCTGAAGAAGAGATAATAGAAGCAACAAATATAAATTGGTTGGATAAGAAAGATAATCCTGTAGCAGTTGCAAGAAGACAAAGACAGCGGGAACAAAGTCGTCAAAGATTGAGTCAAAATAAGCTAAGAAAGCAAAGAAAAAATAATAAAAAAAATAATAATAAAGATAATAATATATCACAAGAAAGAGAAGAAGATGATGAAGAAGATGATAATGATAATGATAATAATGAAGATGAAGATGCAGCAGCAGCAACAGCAGCAGGACCCTGGTCTTTCTTTGAATGGTTTTCTAAAGAACCCTGGCCTGAGTGCTGGCCGGACGTAGGTGAGGTAATCCGCAGAGAGATTTGGCATTCGCCTGTCGCATACTTTTTAGGGGATGCACTTAGCGATGAAGACGAAGATGACGACGAAGAAGACGATGAAGACGATGATGATGATGATGATGATGATGAAGAAGAAGAAGAGGGGCTCAGTCAGCAAGAAGCAGACCCGTCCAATGATGCATAAACCCTTCTTATTCACCCTTCTTATTCACCCTTCTTATTCACCCTTCTTATAAACCCTTCTTATAAACCCTTATAAACCCTTGTAAACCCTTATAAACCCTTATAAACCCTTTTGTATCATTATATATCCTTATATATCTTTATTAACCCTTATATACCCTTATAAACCCTTGTACGTCCTTGTAAACCCTAATTCATCCTTATAAACCCTTATACATCCAACCCTAAACCCCCTATATATCATTATAAACCCTTTTACATCCTTATACACCCTTATAAACCCTTATAAACCCTCACACACAAAGCATATTAAAGCCGAACAAACTGTAATAAACCTTTATGTGCAAACCCTGATTAAACCCTCATAAAGCCTAATATACCCTTGTAAACCCTTGTAAACCCTTGTAAGCTTTTATATAAACCCTTATATAAACCCTAACGGCTTCAAGCTGAGGGGAGCTGTCTGTTGTGTCTTCGTCTTTTTGTCTCTAAACAACAACAAACGCCAAAAGGCGGTTGGGCTCCTTTATATAGACATTATATATTTTTATATATAATGCATGTATATATAGATATAGATATATAGATATAGATATAGATATATATATATATATATATAGATATATATAGATATAGATATATATATATATATATCTATATATAGATATATAGATATAGATATATATATATATATATGTATTATTGTGTTAATATTAAGAATATAAGCCTATGTATGTTAGTCATTATGCACATTATACAATATATATATATATATATGTGTGTATATATATATATATATATATTTGTATAGATAGATTGATATTTTTGTGTGCATTTATGTATGCTAGGTGTATATTCTATGTAGGTACACATACGCATGTACAGGCAGATATAAAGATATAATTATATAGATATATAGATATACATACACATATACGTATATAGATATACATACATATATATATGTATATTCACCTATACATACCTGCATACACATATATGCATATAATGCATAGGTGTATAGGTACAAAGCTATTTGCATATATATATATATATATATATATA